CGATGAAAATAGATGACGCTGGGTTGTGGTTTTTAGCAGGGGGAGGGGTTTGCAGAGGCGCCTACGCTAGGGCCAGTAGAAGAAAGGTGGTGACCGTACCTATCGATGGAAGTTCGTATTAGGTATTTAAGTTAATTTATTTATTTAACTGACTTGGGAACACGCGAATATATGATGTGACATGTTTGTGTGATGGAACCGTCGCTTCGAAAGAAGTGAGCAGCTGGAGGTCTGAAGATAACTTAAATAATTAAAAAATTAGAACTGGCTCTGAGATAGAACTAACGAGCATGGTACAGAATAGAACTAACGTTGAATGAGTTAGAACTAACGAGCATCACTAGAACGAACATGGTACAGATAGAACAATACATCTGATAACAATCATTTTCAATTACTTAAATATACATACATTATTGTATTTGTATGAACATATCATTCATCACTGTACACTGTTTCTTCTTTATGTCTTTGTTCAAAACCAGCCAGTAATAATTGTGCGGCAAGTCTTGCTCGCATAGCTTCAGGGATATCGTTCGGAGGATTAACCAGCAATGTTGATCGTCCTTCAATTATGGATTTTACAAAGAGGTAGACGAACACACCACAGTCAAAGCTGCAACATAGAGTGAGTTCATTAGACATTTTCGGTCCGTTCGAATACTATAACACAAATTTGAACAATATAGACATCGGAACTAACCGTCCTCTTTGTTGCTCGCATTTGATGGCTTGATATCTAAATATTTGGCGCACATTATCTTCAATAAAATCAGCAAGATGGGCATCAAAGAATTTTATGATTTTATTAACAGGCTCCATCCAAGCTTCGTGCCCAACGGAGCTGTAATGCTTGACGACTTTATCTTTAAGGTCAACTTCTACAAGATGCCAATGGTCGTCCCTGACCAAAGGGATCAAGAGATGCTCTATGCGGTATGCGGTATATTTGTCAATGAAGTTCAGATAATGCTCGTAATTGTTCACCTCCAAGCCATAGAGTGAGTGCTGCAAACACATCATGTTTGAGTTGAAATTAAAACAAACATGAGCTGCGAAGGCTAACTAACACCGTATTAATTAGAACTAACACGCTACAGAATAGAACTAACACTGTGCAGAATAGAACTAACACGCTACATAATAGAACTAACGTTCTACAGAATAGAACTAACACTGTACAGACTAGAACTAACACTGTGCAGATTAGAACTAACACTGTGCAGAACAGAACTAACACTCTACAGAATAGAACTAACACTGTGCAGATTAGAACTAACACTCTACAGAATAGAACTAACACTGTGCAGATTAGAACTAACACTCTACAGAATAGAACTAACACTCTAAAGAACGGAACTAACATGACTTATGGTAGGTCTAATTTGATGCTAACTAGAACTAACGTGACTCATGGTATAACTAGCATGGATTACACAAGATCTAACATGAATTTCAATCAAAACTAACGTGGTGAAATTAGGAATAGCATGTTCTTACAAGAAAGAACACCGATACCACTCCATATCCTTTGCCGTATGCCTCCTGGCTAATCGTGTCCAAAACTGCTTCTTCCACCTGTAATTGTTATGAAACATTAAAATTCAATTTAAACAATATAATTTGAATTATTAAGGAAGTATATGTTAACCTTGTCGTCAAGGCGGCCACCACGAAGCACATATAACAACTCTTCCCTGTTAATAGTGCTGTTGGTTGTTACTATAACATTATATCTCCTGGTATAAATTAGAACTAACATGAATTAGAACTAATATGTGGAGAATTAGCATATAAATAGTCAACTGAAACTTACTTGTGAATCTTCCGAGAACAAAATTTGGTTAGGCTCTCAATTTCAGCTTTGTCAAGTCTTTCTGCTACGGGAGATGGTATCTTTAAATTATGTACAAAAGCACATGTGCTATCTATTATGCGTAAGTTAAACAATGTAGGGTCTGGAAGCTCATTATTCAGCTCTCCCAATAGAGCTTCCTCTTCATCTGTCATTGGCTTGAAACTCAACGCATCAAAAGTGGGGATTTGAATACCGGGATAAAAATGAGTAACTTTTTCAGCTAGTTTTACTTTTGGTTCAGGACTTTCAAGTATATCTATACTAATTTTTTCCTTTTTCTTTCTTTTGCCTTCAGTATATGGTGTCCTCTTCCATTTAGATCTCCTGCTTACCCTTCTTGGCTTTGGTGGGCGCTTTGCTTCCACTATATGGTGTCCTCTTCCATTTAGATCTCCTGCTTACCCTTCTTGGCTTTGGTGGGCGCTTTGCTTCCATATTGCTCGTTAGAACATCTACAAGATTGTCCACATCATGTTTAATATTCATAAGATCCTCTTCCTCTTGTGCTTCCAACTTATCTACATTCTCCTTCTCTTTATCTACAATATCTTCCTCCTTATCTACACCATCAACAGTATCCTCATCAAAACCTTTGTTATCTACAATAAAATTTTCATTTTTCATATGCTCCTCTTCCTTATCTACCATATGCTCCTCTTCCATATCTACAATATGTTCCATATGCTCCTCTTCCATATCTACAATATGTTCCATATGCTCCTCTTCCATATCTACAATATGTTGCATATGCTCCTCTTCCTTATTTACACTATCATCAACCTTAGTATCTACAGTCTGGTCAACCTTACTATATACCCCCTCCCCTGGAGAAGTAACAGGCTCCTCTTCACTTGCCTCATCGTCAGCAGGATGCATCACATCCTCTTCAACAATCTTATGTACATGTTCTTGCATGGTGGGCTCTTCCTTATATACACTGCTTGTTTTGGACTTCTGTTCCTCTTGAGCTCCCTGTCGCTTCTTCCTAATTTCATTTGCAATTTTCTGTTTGATATTTGACTTAAGCAGCACTGGGTCTATAACCTCATCATGTCTTCCACATTTTTCAATTATCCTGTTAAGCCTGTTGATCTCAATCATGAATTCTTTACAATATTTGCTCTTGGTCTGCTTTGTAGCAACAAGAAGTCGTTTGAGAAATTTAGCAGAATTTCTCCAAAATGTGAGTTGCTGCTCAATGGGAAGAACATTGATCTCCTCTTCATCGTCAAAAGCAACGTCAATATGCTTTGCCATGATCTGTTATTGATACAAGATTATAATTTTAAGTAGGATTAAACATAATTAGGATATTCTTTGCAGTTAGTGTGAAATGAGTACGACTTAACATAACAGGATACTTACGTAACCTATTGAGAAGTTCTTAGTAGTTTCTTCCTGCAAAGTCTTCCTCTTTGCCTGACGCTTTTGCTGAAGAACTTCATCCCTTTGTTCAGCGGGAAGTGGATGAACATGACCAGGAGAAGCGACCTCCGCAATAGGCCTATGGACAAATGTTATTGACGCTGACTTAGCCTTTGAAATAATTGTCGGCATCCTCATAGATGCGATTCTCTCCTCCCCTAATGCCCAATTTGTCATTGGAGGTCTGGAGGTGTCTAAGAGGGCATATTTTTTTATGCCTGTCATCTCGTAGTACCAAAGCTGTACCAAATAATATATTTACCATTAACATTTAATACTAGACTAGACTAAAGAGAATAAAATATGGCTGCATCTAGAACTAACATGGTGTAAATTAGTACGTGGTACGACATGAATTATGATAGAACTAACATGACCTATGATAGAACTTAAATGGGTGCAGATAGAACTAACACTCTACAGAATAGAACTAACACTGTGCAGATTAGAACTAACACTCTACAGAATAGAACTAACACTGTGCAGATTAGAACTAACACTCTACAGAATAGAACTAACACTGTGCAGATTAGAACTAACACTCTACAGAATAGAACTAACACTGTGCAGATTAGAACTAACACTCTACAGAATAGAACTAACACTGTGCAGATTAGAACTAACACTCTACAGAATAGAACTAACACTGTGCAGATTAGAACTAACACTCTACAGAATAGAACTAACACTGTGCAGATTAGAACTAACACTCTACAGAATAGAACTAACACTGTGCAGATTAGAACTAACACGCTACAGAATAGAACTAACATAGAATAAGTTAGAACTAACAATGCATAGGTACGAATTAGAATGAAACAAGATCAGTAAAATATGGAACTTACACACAATAGTGTCATGCAACCTGGGACATATGCGACCTTTTGCTTCTTCTTTCCCTCCAAAGCAACTCCAATGCCCCTCATAATTTCATTATAAAAGAACGGGGCCCATGCAACAGAATTGACCCTCTGAATGCTATCCAGGTACCTGAGTAAGGGTCTAGGGATACCTTCCCCTGCTATGGGACTCCATATCATAGAGCATTGGTACAAAATTTGTAGCAGAGCAAAATCCTCGATATCCCGCTTTTTGGTAGATTCAACAAGCCGTTCAAGTAGCCCTTCAAGATGTTTACGTTGGCTGGTTTCTGATTTTTTTAACTTCTTACCCTCTTCAGAAATGAAAAGCTTAGCGAAGTATCCCAGCCATATTCTGCTTCTTGAGTCCCTATTGTTCCTTATGTCCTCCCCATAAATTGGGAAATAAGTATGGTTGTGGACCCATTGCAAATCAAAACTAACATTTTTCATACCCCCACTTTTTGAATCAGGTATACAAAAGGTGTTATTATCTCTATCGAAAAAGCTCAGCAGCAGCTCAAGGGTGGGCCGATCAGCCGCAGGAGCCCCAAACAAAATGTAGTGCTGAAATATAGAACCGCAGTATGCATCCCTATGCCACTGACGGATCTTCGGGGCAAGGCGCTTCATAAATGGCCAATAAGCCCCGATATTGGCCGTTAACCTTAGTGTTTCTGCTGAGCCTGTTAGAGCAATTTTTTCCCTGCAAAAAATTTTCGAATTTGTAAGTTCAATAAGACATATGAAACAATATTAGACCTAGCACTAACGGGAACAAAATAGAGCTAACACGTAATATTATAGAACTAACATTGGACTCATATTAGAACTAACATTGGACTTAAACTAGATCTAACGTTGGTATAAATTTAGAACTAACATTGGACAAAGCCTAGAACTAACAATATTGGGTTAATCTGCATTGTCTCTTCGCAGTATAACATAAGCCAAGAACTAACAATATTGGGTTAATCTGCATTGTCTGTTCGCAGTATAACATAACACTTACTGTTTTTTTGAGGGGGGTTCATTGGTACGACCTGCCATTGTCGTCCTCCTTTTCTGGTCTCGCCATTGTAATGCCTCCTTTTGCATTTCGATTAGGGTTTTCGTAACTTCTGTAGCTTCCTCCGTGCTGCCACCCGCAGATGAAGCGTCTTTTCCTTCCAACTCGGCTCGGTGCCCGACCTCGTAGTCGTTACTGGATTTTTCCGTAGACGACGACATTTTTCCGGCGAAAACCCTAGAAACGTTGAAATTCGTACAGAAATTAGGAAGATGAAGAGTTCTTGATGACGGTGCTTGGTGGAAGAGAGAGAAAGAGAGTACTTGTAAAGGTGAGGGGCACATTAACCCAGCTCAGTCCCATCAGAGGGCAAGATAGTAACTTCCGCTGGGCTTTTTCTGAAAAGAGTCAATTCGGGGCCTCGTCGCAAATACTATGCGTATTTGGGGCTATTCCACATGGGGCAAAATACAGGGGGGCTAGTCACACGAAGTTCCCACTTTTGGGGCCTGGACACATTTTTCCCTAGTAAAATTATTTTGGAAAATTATTTCGTTGAGCTTGTAGGAAATTTAGGAATCATCTTTAAGCTTTTTTCCATGATCATATATTCTAAACTATGCACG